GGTTCCAGCCAGGAATGAAGCACAATGTCCGCAGACAGGATGTACATATTAGCTGGCTCAGCAGGAGACGACTACAATAGTCTTATTACACAGTCCATTTGGCCATTTTGTTGCAGTTGGGTCAAAGAGTCGACAGTAGATATTCCATATACAGGTGTCGTTGCAGATATCAATTGCGGATCGTTGCATCATATATGAGTGTATTTTTCTCCTATCTTATGCCCAACCATAATCAGGTTGTTAACTGTTCGTTTCGGGAATTGTTCTCAAAGAGAGCTATAACGTAGCTCCAGAACTTGATAACGTTGTTTGTTTCCAAAGTGATTTGGTTACCAATTGGTCAGTACAATACCATAATAATCTCTGATTCTTCTTTGTTACGTATCGACATATATATATATAACGAAAGTTCAAGGTAAGAGTACGTTTTGCTTTTACTTGTATCTAAATTGCAAAGTTTTCCACCCATTACCAATGGGTAGCATGTTTCCTGCAAGTACATGCAAGCTAAATGAAAATGTGATAATGCAATTCAATATTTACCTATCATTATACGTCAAGGCACTGAGTGGGCGCGCACACCTCGTCGCACGCCTTGAAACGTGTACCAATTAAGTGGGTCGATACCTGGGAACGACGTCTGCCAGATATGCCAAACGCAGGCATCGTTGCAAAAAGTATTTTCGAAGAACGGTGTGCTATTTAACGAAGGGGAAGTGGGAGAGTCAAGGCGAAATATTGACTCAAACTTGGACTTAGGGGACACGGCGTGCAGTCAGAAACTACTTCCACAATAAAAGCCGTTGTCCTCGCTTCGGTTCACCCAGTCGTTCGATCGACTGATCGCTCAGTAAATCATTTGGACAGTCACAATTCGTCAAGCTGCCTGCACTGCCTGGCAGTCACGGTTGATAGTTAGTCTTGTTGCTACTGCTGACATAGACATTGAGACGAGCGATGGCAACGAGGCAGTGAGGACAGGTGTTGGGCCCTCACCCCCTTTTTATTGACGAGTAACAGGGAGCGGTTCCTAGTCGTGAACCATCTTCAGTCGGAGCCTGTGCCGCGATTAGCGCTGCGGGCACCGCCGCTGGTTTTGCTGGCGCTGATTTTGACTGAATACTTACTGTGCGAATTATACAAGTAAAATAATCAACCATACTGCACGGAGCTAAAAAAGGCGGTGGTCCCAGGTGATTGGCCCATTATTGTGTCATATAAATCAGAACTGTGATACATCTTTAGCTTCCTGCTCCTCCTTTTCCTTCTATTGGCACTATTTTATTTCTAACGAAAAATGCTGGTTAGATTTAAGGATTCTACCAATAATGGAAGTGTTCTGGTAATATCGCGGAGCGTGTAATGGTAGCAAAAAATCTGCTAGCAACGGCTAGCAATCTGAACCACTAAACAGGTAGCTGATTAGTTAGTGATTCTAACAAGAACCTGAAGCCTAGGCCACCTATTAAGGAAGCGAAGTAATCTAAAGCACACTGAATAAAATTGAGTGCAATCTAAATAACAAGTAGTCGAAAGATAGTATAAAAAAGGCACGGTAGTAAGTAAGAAGAACAACGCAATAATGGATAGTGATGATGGCATTCTATTTTTTGTAGCTGTCTGCGGTACCAAGATGAATGTTGTCGTGTATCACTTCTCCTCTACGGTGCGCAACTTATTTAGATTTGACTCACGTAACGATATGACTCGTACGTCGCTGCTGCTTACGTTATCTTGTCATACAATGTTGTTGTTTTCGTATTCGGGAGCCTGCTTTTTCTTTTACACATCTGTCGTACCTAACACAGGGAGAAACAGATCAGAATGCATGTTTGTGTATGTGAGCGCCAAAAATGACCTATACCACTACTGCCCGCACGTCGATCATCCACTCTCTGCCACCTGTCGCTGCCATTGTGGCTATACATGCTCGCATGTGTATCTATGAGTGGCTATGTGAGTCGACCACCATGGGAGTTCCCTGTTTTCTCGGGACCCTCGAATTCTCATCGTAAATGATAAATATACAGGCAAGCGGAAACAATGTTTTCGTACCGTCTAACTAGAGGCCGCTCCCTTAGACTATCCATAGGGAATACCTAGTACGTGTGGTCCTTTGGTATACGGGAGCAATGGTATCAATAGCGATATGATGTCGACGACATGGCCCGTCTGCTGTCATGTTGCCTTGCGCACGACTAGAGTCATATAGAAATAAATGCCTTATACGAATCTTCCTTTTATCTACCAATAGCAATGACTATCGACGAGCTAGTTCGTCTGCTAGAATGCTAATAATTGTGGTCTTATCGGCGTGGCATGGATACCCTTTCTATTTATTTATTTTATTTTTATATTATTCTTCTCCTGTGCTGTTCCGGACAGATGGTCGTGGCTGAATGGATGCGGATGCGGTTGATGAATAGAACTTGGTAGCGTGAATGTAAAGCGAATCGATAGGCAGGAGCTAAATTACCGAATCTGTTATAATAAGTTAGTGTATATTCTTGAGCCTACAGGATACGCCTTTTTTTTATACTTACCATCTCGTCCAATGGCCAGATACATTAATTAATAGGCATGCGGTAGCTTCAAATAATACTCAGCATAGTGATAGGGCTGTACAGACTGTTGTCCGAGAAAATTTTTGTCTCATTTTGTATGCTTTCAAATTTACTAAGAAGACGAATTGATCTGAGCCTATAAAAATGTTAAATGATAGTTTATTATATATATATATAAATTTTTTTATATTAAACTAAAAGATAGTTAGAAAGATAGAAGTTAAAAACCAAATAAAAAGCTCGTGTTCGTGTGCATAAAAAAATAGAGTTAGGCAAATCCTTATCTTTACCAACAGTGATATTTTTTTCTCTTAAGGCCAAATTTGCAATTGGAATTAACTAGGTATAACAGGATATAGAAATGGTCACCAGTGAAATTTACATGAAGTATAGGAAAGAAAATTGCGCGTTTAATTTTTGCCAATTGCTTGTAATAATTTTAAGAAATTGTCCAGAAACGTCCTTCGTCATTGTGCTTTTATAGGGGCAGCTAACAAATTTGACTGTTGGAAATTGTCCAAATTAGCCGTGAACGAAACTGGGTTTTTCATTAATTAGCTCACCGATAAACGAACGTTGAGAATACGGCGAGATCACATTGAGAGAGACATTGATTTCAATGAGTTTTTCTACTTCTTCCTTTGCAGGATATTAAATATCATAACATCGAATCCCTCCCAAGTTAACTGTAGGCATTATGTAAGGAATATGTACATATCCATGCAAGCTATGCAAGCAGGTTCAACAAGGTTCAAATCCGAAAGTTTTATTGGACTTTTCGTCGACAGATAGAAAGTGAGCCTGTTACAAGATGTATTAACCCTGCATTTTTCGTGTAAAAAAAACGTGTGCGTTCGAATTGTGCCGTTGATCGTAGCCTAAAAATGGATAATCTGTCGGCCCGCTGTTGGGATCAATTTTGCATGACATGTGTTTGACAGCAATGCTAAATGCTGTTTTCCGTGACGACTACTCTATTATCGCTAAATATTTCGAATTTTACGCCCGGTACCAGCACTAGGCGTTACGTCAAACGGATAGCTGCCGGCACAAACCAAATGTGTTCACCCCAAAACCGTTCAAACCCAGATCGTTACGTGCCCGTCAATTTGGGATTGCGGGCGTGTTTACTTGCTTAACACGCTCACAATCCCGACTACTACTGGGACACTATGCCAATATCTATTATTGCAATGACGTGTTGGAGCTGAATATCTTCAATTTAGGCAGTTGCGAGCAAGCTTAGTGGTTCGTACGTTTCGCCGGTACAGCATTTAGAACGAACTTTGAATAAATGACAAAAAGTACCGAATGTAGAATGATACCAAAACAAAAAAATAACCCACTGCCATACTGTCGTTTTTATAACAGCTATTGTAACCTTTAGCATATTGTTGTTTCCCGAAATCGACACTATATCTTATTATTATTTAGCGAACGCCTAATTCTAAGATGAAATCACCTTACCTAAACGTTTCCTTCAACTTGCAAATAAGTCCTATTAAGTAAAGCACCAAATTTCAACGACAGTTGGCTTGGCCTATTACGACTATATGAAAAGCTCTACGCGAAAACCGGTGCTCTCGATACTTTTCTAGTATGTAACAGGGTTTAGTTGAGTTCAACAAGTTACTGGTAAAACATGCTTGAGAATAACAGTAGCGCATAATCATTCGGCTTGGGGACTGAATCGCGAACTCTTGCTCTACTCAGAGATACCATACCCCTCAAAACTTAAGGTCAGGTTGTCAGAAGCGACATCTCACACTTCAGTAATTTCCTGTGCCATTTAGAAATAGGCAGTAATGTTTGTTTCCCTCTCTGTCGACCCTAAGCCATGTTAGGTCGCCCATATAGCTCATGTTCATATCGGCCATATGACACACGCGAGCTAGTGTGGTCTCGTGGATGCCTGCCTGTAGATCATTTTAGCGATACACATTGTCGCGCTTACCTTTACCATTGTCGTGATCGTCCCAGGCTCAAACAAAGCCATGCTATCAGACCCAAATAATCAATTAGATATTCGTAATGAGTATGTCAGTTCTTTCCTGTCTGTCTTTTTGAGCTTACGAAATCCTTCCGGCAGACATCACATAAGTGAAGCACGTTATCGAAGCTAACTAATCTTGTCAATTACAGGTAAGCGCAGTACGATCGGGATTTCAAGACCAAATACCCCCGTTTGCCAGAAAACTACTCAGACTCCACGTAGACTGTGATAGCCAGCTGGATATGAAGCTATTATCATTCATGAAGAATAGCAAAATATAATAACTATCTAATGATAACCCGCACCTAGTTTAAGACTACATCGTTTCTACTTCTGTGAAAGTGTTGAACTTTCAGACAGCTGGACCAGCTAATCAACAGATCGACGCGTGCGTTGCCAAGTTCTATAAGTACAACTAGTTATTATATAGATATATGCTCTGTAGCAGAGCTTTATTCTATATACAATATTTACACTCCGAAGGCCTGTCTGGTGTTGTTGTTGTTATGTACCAATTGCAAAAAGCGATTTTCGTTCCCTACGGCCTGGCTGTAAAGCTGGGTAATTATATTGCAAAATTATATAGTAAAATCATAGTACATAATATATATTAAAAGAATTACGGTTAAATAATAACTATCGTTATCGCATGCATTTGATCACTGCAGGTATCGTTTGTGTTGGTTTAAATTGTTATTTACGGCGCTCTGCCGTTTGATACTGTCTTGTTCACGTTCAGTTCCTGCTCATTACGGTATAGCGGACAGAAAAATAAGTCCTACTTTAACAACGAGAACAAGTTGTGCATTGCGGCTGTTCAAACGTTTTAATAAAGCCTTTCATTTCTTAAAGGCATAGTAGTCTCCAGTGGGATCCTCCAGCCAAGGATAGTTTTGTGGGCACTCGACGCAAGTATGTAAACGGATGGTTTCACCGGGAAGCTCTCTGGTTGTCAATGGGCAGGCATTGGGTAGAGAACAAAGGGGTTGGCCCTTGACATCGCACTTGGCCTTCCATGGGGCGAAGTCACGGACCCCAGTAATATCGGTTGGCTTTTGGATCCAATCCAGTACCTGCGTCATCGTTACGAAGTAGACGTCGTTCTTGGCGAGCACCTCGTCAATCCACTGGAGGAATGACTCTATATAATCGGGATTAAGCTTGAGCCAGCCGGCGTGAAAGTACAGACCTAGTGGGGCGCGATTCGTCTTGTAGTGCCTTTCGAAGTTGTGGTTCAGGAAGTTGTAGAACTGTTCGCCTGAAATAATGTTCGAGCAGGCGTCTACCATAGCGCAACCAGCAAGTTCTTCGTCGAAGGACGGGTCGTCACGACGATCCAGCTCATTCATCACCATCTCCCACACAGCGTGCGAGCGTGAGGGACAATTTTGCCCATTTCCGTGACACTTGTGAGGCATACGAAAATAAAGAGTGTATGGCCACAGGGGTGGATTTGAAAGCGGGGCGGCGATTGTTGAGTCATAAAAGAAGGCTTGCTGCTCCATCATGAAGAACTGGTTGTTGCCTCCTACTCGAAGATAGGGCGCTCTAACTCCCACTATAGAATTATCAGTGATGTTAGAGAACCGTTCCATAATCAGACGCACTCCAGCCATTTCCTTCGCCCAGGTTTCGGCAGATGCTTCTGACCAGTACTTCTCATCGTGCTTATGGCTGTGGGAGTTAAAAAAATGAACGTAGCCGTTAGAGGTAAACATTAACTACTAACGGACATTCTTGTTCTAGTTTAAATTAATACACTGAGCCTTTACAGTAAAACGTTAACAGTCGTGTATCATTACTGTAAAAAATAAGTAATGTTTCTGTGCAGTTAGTAAGAGTGGCTTACAAATATGCTCTGTCGTATTTAAGTTCTCCTAGTTCTGACTTACGATTATCTTTGGGAGCTGTCTTATCGCTAAGATTAATTATTTCGCATCAGTCGCTACGGCAAGTGGATCAGTACTCGTTTTAGCTTAGTGCTATCGAAATGTTGTAGGTATGCTCGAGATCTATCCTTCGAAGGCTGTCGTCTTCCATTGGGTTTTCCGAAAAGGATAGGAAGTGACCCGTGTTAAGGTCGTCACTAAATTTGACATGGAGTCAAATACATCCGTACAAATTTACTTCGAGTTCTTCTTGCCAAAATGTGAGACATCGCTAAAGGAATCAGCGTATTATCCAAGTACATAAGTTGTTCCCCAGAAGAAGCGAAAGGGCAAGTAATTATCTGTTCAGACTGAAACACATTAACCGTTTGGTAAACGGGTAAGCTATCGTCCTATAAGTTTCTTGTTGTAGTTGGCGCTCATAATTTTGAAGCAGCTTGTTGGGCCCGATATGCCTGAACCCAGGTGGTTAACGATTTTCATCATAGTATACCATGGACTATATCGGAAGTTATGAAATAAATTCGTGCGCGCTACTGTTACTATTGGTACTATTCAAGCTTCTGGAAAAAAGAAATTGCGAGTTAATGCCAAAAAAAAAGTTATATAGTCCAATACAATTAGATACGAAAGTATACTGCGAATGGCAATCTCTCTACATAAGGTGAGACAAAAGGACATACGACAGACAGGACCAATTTTTTCTAAATTTAATAAACACAATTGGTTTTTTTATTATTACTAATATTATAATTATAATAATTATTATTATTGAAGGAACCCGCTCCAAAGCAGCGTCTTATAATATATACAATATTTACACTTTGACGGCTCTGCTTTTTAAAACGTAATAATCATTTAGCATTAATCATGTCTTGCGAAAACGTGATTCCCGTTTCGTGCAGATAGTGTAACTGGCTATTCATAGGTCATACTGCATACATACTGACATTGTGAGATAATCATGTAAACTTAATAATTGTTAATAACGCCGCAATCATAACCGGCTTCTATACGTCAGTCGTCACTTTCACTGTTTATGTGGAAGGTAGCTTGGCTACGTGAAGGGACCTGGCACTGCCCCATCATTTGTGTACGATCTTCCCTTCTTTGTTAACCTGTATCATCATTCAGATTGCATGCCGCACTATTGAATCCAGTTCTTTCGCTGCGAGCCCCACAGAAGGAGATTGCTCTAGCTGGTCGTGAACCTTCAGGCGTCGAGCGTGACCAGCCGCATCATTTAATACGTTTTATTTCTTAAACGCATAGTAGTCTCCCGTGGGGTCCTCGAGCCAGGGGTAGTTCTGCGGGCATTCGATGCACGTGTGAAGTCGGATAGTTTCCCCAGGCAGCTCTCTAGTCGTTAACGGGCAAGCGTTCGGCAGAGAGCAAAGAGGTTGACCCTTGACGTCGCATTTTTCCTTCCAGTTAGTAAAGTCACGAACGCCAGCGATCGGGGTCGGATCCTGCATCCACTGCAATACCTGAGTTAGCGTTACGAAGAATACGTCGTTCTTGGCGAGCGTTTCGTCAATCCACTGGATGAATGAGTCTAGATAGTCGGGATTGAGCTTGAGCCAGCCGGCGTGGAAGTACAGACCCAGTGGGGCGCGATTCGTCTTGTAATGTCTCTCGAAGTTGTGGTTCAGGAAGTTGTAGAATTGTTCGCCTGAAATAATGTTCGAGCAGGCGTCCACCATAGCGCAACCAGCGAGTTCTTCGTCGAATGACGGGTCGTCACGACGATCCAACTCATTCATCACCATCTCCCAGACAGCGTGCGAACGTGAGGGACAATTTTGGCCGTTTCCATGACACTTGTGAGGCATACGAAAGTAGAGAGTGTATGGCCACAGGGGTGGATTTGAAAGTGGGGCAGCGATCGTTGAGTCATAGAGGAAGGATTGATCTTCCATCATTTTGAATTGACTGTTACCACCGACCCGGAGATAGGGAGCGCGTACTCCTACTATAGAATTATCAGTGATGTTGGAGAAGCGCTCCATAATCAGACGCACTCCGGCCATTTCCTTTGCCCAGGTTTCAACGGATGCTTCAGACCAGTACTTCTCATCGTGCTTATGGCTGTTGAGGTTACAAAAGGAGGAGCGTACCTGTTAGACGTAAAATGCTACCGAATTCACGGTGTTCGTGGTGTAAATGTATATAGAAGGGGGTTTCGAGAGCGATACATGAATACTGCTGTCATTTTTGCGTGAAGTTGCAGGGTAGGGGTATGTGGTGATCAAAAAGTTGCTGCACGACTCGCAGGAAAACTCGGTTTTGTTACAGGTGATACTATCAACTGTAAGCAAGCCAGCGTACTCCGCTGGTGCACAGCAGTTTTTTAAACACCCTGTATATAGCTGTGGAAACGTAGATGTGCCATACGGGATATATACTACGATTAACGCAAACGACTTTAAAGAATCTAAATTTTGCTTCGTGTGATAACACCTTCAGTTACTTACGTGATAGAATGGGCGGCCATTTCGTGTCCCTTCCGGTGCATCTCCTGGATGGCTGAATAGTTAGAGTATTTGTGCGAAACGAAGAAGGTGCCCTTGATCATACATCCATTAGGATTGTTACGGCCTTCCCTAAAGATCTTATCATACAAATCAATATTATTGTTGTTTATAGCGTCATCAAAAGTGATGGTGATCATCTGAGGTACGGTGTTGGGCTCGAGCTTGCCAGGGATCTGAGTACCGTCCACTGAGCAGAAACAGTCGGGAAGTACACACTGTGACTGGTCGCATGGTGGAGCGCGATTTGGATCCTTGTCCACCGTACAGACGTTTTCGTCCGAACTGTCGCTACAATCTTCTACGCCGTTACAGAAGAGTTCCTTTTCGATACAATCCCCATTACCGCAAGCAAGCTTGCCAGGATCGCAGAGAGGCTCGTCGGTAGCTAGCAGCGGGGCCACAAGTCGAGGCTTCTCAAGCTGCTTGCAATTTTTTACGTTCGACTTCCAGTCGCAGGTTTGTTTGTCAATGTCAAACGCCAATCCTGAAGGACAGCGCAAGGCCAGCAGGCCTTGAACAGAGCAACGGACTACATCTCGACAATCTTCGTCGGCCGTCAAACGGAAATATTCTGACGGTGATCGACCCTTGCAGAGCTCGGCATCATTTTCAATATCTGCTTCAAGTTGTTTGACCTGTCGCTTATGGCGACTGCTGATCGACGTGCTATGGACACCTATGAGGAGGACGAGAGCAAACAAGAAATGCATACGATTACCACCTTATAAGTTTCCAGTACTTGGCTAGAATGCGAGTCTAGACGCTCAACAGTCGTTAGTCGTCTAAAAGTCCATGAAGTATATATTCATTATGACCTTATAGATACTGTATTACATAAGCAGAATGAAATACATGTACGCTTGCTTTCTTAACCTGTAAAATGCGCAATCCGCTCTTTGTTCCGTCCACGAACAAAAGGATGTTAACTTACAAACGTCGACAGGTTGATCACAAGAATCTAGAAAACTAATTACTGTAATTGCAAAGTAGTCAGCTTAGTAATTCAATAGTTGCTTAAAAAGCTAGTACCTACAAAGCAGACAACCGTGGCGCTCGCACATGCACAAACATTTGCGTATAAACAATCACGGTCCGGTCATCAGACGAAAAGAAGAGCTACGCAAAAAAGACGTTTTAATTGTCTAGTTGTTATTTGTGTCGACAGTCTCGTGCTGACAGGGCTGGTACGGGGAAATGAATAGGGCGTATCCGCTAATTTATGGCTATTATATTCTGTCATCGTACAGCCGAGAGTGTGTTTGAAGGCAGCGCTACTTGGTTCACTTGCTTGTTAAATATGGATACCGTGGCACACTGGTGCGTCCCTACAGCAGTATTATATGCGTCGACATACGACTTGATATAGTAGACATAGCCATTGTTGGCCTAAGGGCACAATCGGAACATAAATGCCCCGACTAACGCACATACTTTTAACCAAAGTAGGCTTCCAGCAATTGTGGGCCTTAGCCATTTAATTTGTTGACCAGTAACGACATTCTATACGATGTTTCATTTGATCGAAAACACTTGACAAAACCATAGACGCATTAGCTGCCCTAGTCAGTAGCGCTGTAACGGGGCGGTCTTTACTGATATTGCCCCTTTGGCCAGTTAAATAGAAAAACAAACCGTAGATGCATTATTTAAAAGCATCATATCTTAATGAGAACAGTAAGAAGTATGTTCAACGATTGGTGCCCATGTTGTTAAATGAATCGGCTAACTTTAGGGAATCACACTATGGAGTAACGCTACGTCATGTTATGTATAAAGACCTTACGAGGTCATTTAGACATAATTTTCCTTCCTACTGACTAGTCTCTTATTAAGTGTATGTGACATTACACAAGAAGATTCTTAAGACAATATATAAAGTACTATCGGCCCAACAAAACAGGCAAAATTTCGTCTATAGCACGACATCCGACGTTGAGAAAAATCCACTGTGTAAGTAACAGTGCTTTGTAGTGACCTCCTAAACCACAAGAACATACTCGAATTAGATACGCAATCTCAGGATTTTCGGCAAACATATGTTTCTGTCGTGCAGAAGTGTCGAAATCTATCAAACTCAGAAGTCTCATTTACAGATATATAGGAATAGCATCAATGAGCAGTATCATTGCCAAAAGTACCTTAAGCATTGGACATTATTTTATCAAGAATATACGTAGACTTTCTTTGCACAAGATACCTTATCAAAATGAAATCTGCCTTACCCCATTTTATAAAATCTTATCGATACGCGCACACAAATGCCAATTTACACAAAAATAAGACACACTAGAATCTAAACTCATTTGGGGGAGGGGGTGGGGGCTCCTACAAGTACCGTTCGCACAGCACAGCCTGGCCACGAGTGCATGGGGACGCCTTCAGTGAATTCATTTGAAAATCCTCATTGATTGATTGATAATCTTGCTTTCACCAGCATTTATTTCGAAATACACTTTAAACACGACATGAGCAAAATCGACCCAGGAACACGGAAGCCACAAGTCGATAAATCAAGGTATAGACACCTGGTCATCAGGCGAATGCTGATAGTCAAAAACACCATACCGTTACGCGCCCCTTTAAGCCATTCTTTAAGCATTAATAAGCGCCACACAACGGTGACATCATAAACGACAACTGCATCCAGTGAAACGCTGAAAATGGATGCATCCACTTTGGGACCTCTGGGCGGAGGGCGGGCTGGCTCTCGCCCTTGAAGACCTACGGGCTACGCAATGCCTCGATCGAATTGACCATTCTACTTGATGTGGTATGGCCTTTGATAGTAGCGCACTATAAAACGCACGACGAACCGACGATAATCGGCGCTACAATTAGCGATGATTGTCAACATCGCCGGTATAATTATAGTCCTTAAGGAGCGTTCGAAGCAGGCCGAGGCGGTACGAAGGTAAGACGTGCACCATTACGCGTCGGTGATGCTATTTAATTCATTTCCACACGACACGCACATAATACGGGTGTCTGTGTGTGTAAGCTGCATGTATATGGTCGAGCTAAGTCTCACTAGTCCTCTAGATTGGCTGAAGGTTTTTGTTGGCAAGCAGTACCATTACTGCTTAACTCATTTTGTGATCCATCGTCTTGAATTGCCGAAAAGCCGATATCCATCCGATCCATTTCGTGGGTTCTTATCATAGCTGCAAGTTATATGCAAGCTGCAAACTAATGATAGTGTCGATGTTGACACTGCGATTGTTACTTAACTCACGTTATCTACTTTTGTTAAACGTTTGATAAAAGACATCGCGTTCTCCATGTGGTCCATATCGTTCTACTAGCTTCTCTAATGAGATGAAGAACGGGGCTGGTGGTGGGTAAAGCTAGCGAAAGGGAGCACCATACGCCGACGGGCTTTGAGGTAGCCAGTCAGGCAGTCCGATAGGCAGCGGTACGAGCAACACGGGGCGACACTGATATTTGTTTTGGCACTTACCGCACAAAGCGACGGAAAGCACGAGAAAGCCCACGGCTGTGTTCCTCGGTATCCACGGTAACATCATGCAATGAAGTGGCAGCGAGACGTGGCAACCACTAGCTCATATAGCTTCAACGGGTCGCGTCGGCGAGGGGTGTATGTGAGACCTCCTCTCGCATGGTGAGAAACCGCCAGCTCAGACATTTAGACGGCACTGCCCGCAACAAATGCCAGAAGCAGCATGGTCAGCAACTTCTCGTAGTAACAGGTGAAGTTCCCAGCAAGAGCAGTTGCTTTACGATTAAACTCTTTTCTAGCAGCCACAACTGCGGTGGCAGTTCCCCCAACGGGCCGAATCGGGCGAGCCGTCGGGGTATCGAAATGGCAGTACCTCTTAACCGCAACAAACGAATCAATAGCGATATAGCCGTCCGACCAAACTGTTGTATTACTGCCCTATTCACCGTCGAAACTTCCGAGCGGTCGCAGAAATAGACGTGAATATTTGTAGTAATAACAGTTGTATCTGTTGTGTAGACGTAGTACCATAGCTGTTGTGTTGTTATTGTGATCGTACCTGCAGATCTTCAGCTCAACGCAGGATCGTAGCACTTCCTCAGCGGGACTGGCTTCGCGGTAGCCGAAGAAGCGATATTGGAGCGAGCTCGCCAATTGCGACAGCTCGCTTTGAGCTTCACAGGCGGCTCCAGATCATCACACGCGGACACCAGGCGGATACCAGGCGCCGCCGTTATGGTCGTTAGCCAAATTGAGCCGTCGTTATTAGTTGGCGTACTGTTGCTGACGAGGATGGCTGAGTCATAACCCAGGACGTAGTCAGAGTGAATTTCCCGCATTCTGAAAGTCTGCAGGCTGATCGCCGCCCCCTAAAAAACACAAACCACCGCTTCCTTTTCCACCTTCTTTCGCCTCGTTCAGTTGTAATGCATTTCGCCAGTAGTAGAATTCGATGCTGATTGGACACGAGTGAAGGCCCGAACGGACGGACGGACGAACAACTTGAAAAACACAAAGACGACTTTTTATTCCGTCGTCATGGCAACAGTTGCGGTGCATGTTGTATGTATCTTGCCTTCTCGTCTCTCGGTGCGGTACCAGCCAACCGACCATCAACAAAGTTACGCTGCGCATAGCCACGACGAGCACTGGAGTTGCCGCAACCGACACGGCAGAAGTTAAGCTAATCACAACTATAGACATGCTACTATTGGGGATCGGCAAAAACACATCGTTGGAAAAAAGACCACTGTTTTATCCGACAGCGACAACAATAACATAACAATTAACAGACGATGCCAGGAAAAACAGCGCCTGAGTTGACACCGATACCGTTCGCAGGATTATGGCCTGTACGGCCAGGCAACGACCATCGGCCGTATCCTAGTAGGACCGGTTCGGAGCACCAACATGGACCTTCGAGATCAAGCGTCAAATCTGGAATGGCGCTATCTTCGGCCGTGTTTTGCAGGCTGCGCTATTGTTGACACAACAATGATGACAGACAACAAAAAGTGTTGCCTATTTTTGAGGTGGTAAAAGACGGTAAGCTTTAGTAAGAAACAAGTGAGTACTGTCCGCTCCTCAAAAAACATTTTGATTAAGAAAATTATTTTGTAGAGCTGGGGTGTTTCCGACTGATTTTAAGCGACTGGCGAGACATGAAGGTAAAAAAAATTAGATGGCAACTTATCCCATTTCGCATTTGTGTGTTGTAGCCGGGTAAAGATAATACCTCTGACAGCGGATTTAGCCGCTCGTCGCTAGAAAATATATTTTTAATTTACATTGTAGAAAATTCCACCGCCAATAAAATTAATAAGGTAATGGTGTGTTAGCTTGGTAAATCTAGACAAACTGCCTAACAAATCTCGTCAAGTCTGGTATGTTTAAGTTAATTTCGAAGCTGAAGGTGGTTCCATGCATATGATAGAACATTTCTAAATCAAAATATAGCGACTTCCATAACATATGAACTATAACATTATAACGCATGTAATTTGTAGATACGTTCTTCCGATATACGCAGAGAATTTTTACGGAGTCCGATGCATATTTGACCATTGATGCCATGGGGCAGTTAGGCAGGTGGATTGCAACAGCATGTTTCCTGCATTTCAATGAGACTGTAGTGGCTAAGTTGCAATGACATGCTAGGTAACGTCAAGAACGCCTACATTAAAAAAAAAATTCGAACGTAAAGGTACCATTATGTCAACGTGGCGACGGTAGCACGTTTTTTCTGTGACAACACTCCTACTTACAATCCATAGCAGCGTTTCTAAACGACCTATGGAAACACGGACTTCTCCTTCTTGAAACCACAATCCGCAGTTCCTGTCATTTGATTGAAGAGTGTTATCTTGTTTCTAGCAACTTTCCGGACTTCGTAGGCAAGATTATAACCGATGTAGGCGTTCAACGAATGACCCGACTTAAAGGAGCCACGCGGCCGAATCACACCGAATATGTCTTAAATCTCAAACACGTGATGGTATCAAAGAATAATCCCCTGGCGCAGTTGGACGTCGTCAGCCATCAACAATCAGTTCATTACATAACCGAATAGTCCTTAAGTTTTGGCCTGGACGAAGCGATATGCCACACAATAGATACTGCTATGTACCGTTGTTACGAAATTTTTGTTTAAAAAATGATGATATGATTGACAGTCTGAGTATAAAATTGTATCGTTCTCCAACTTGTAAGAAATGACGAATATGACCAGTGTGCAGTGTGCAGAGCTAACGTTCTACAGTCATTATATGAGCGTACTTGCTCAGACTTCCTAAGCGGGTAACAGAAGGCGACAACGCTTCGTAGAAGATACTCTTTTGTACGGCCACACACCGATATTATCCTATACCAACATTTAAGTTGCTTATCAAACGCTAAATTGGATAGGAAAGACACTGAGTTCGTGCTATTAATGTTGCTTGCGAACGCGAAGTTATCCTAAAGAAACATAACTCATTATACGCAAAATTCCGAACACGAAAACAGAAATGGTTCTCAGAGTGAACATAACCTTTGAGTTCGGTTCGATTATCGAACCCAACCCCACGTTCAAAGGCATCATGGGACCGTGCACCTCAGAATTTTACCACTAACGAGGTTCTCAATATTAAGGCCAAAAGCGTTAAAAGTCAACTATTATTAAATTCGTGACTCGGAACTTCTGTGCGACCATTTTAAAAATGATCCTGTTTAAATTATCCGTTGTTCCTCGATGTTAGATAGTTTTTTTATCGTTTTCCTCACAGACGGCCAATCGCTTGTAGACTCACAGCGATGGCTGGAAAGTGCCAGCTTGGAAAAGACGATGTATTAAAAAAAAGGGGCGATACTTCTTCGTTTATAAAGAAACCAGCTTCATATGGAAGTGTATATACTCTTCTAAACCGACATTCGTGAACCTGAAAGGTAACAAAGACACAAAAATACTAAGTTTAACACGCAATGAAAGTTTAGAGAAACGGAGGCGTTCAAGGTTAAGCACGTGGTGTGGGCGGGGAGATACGGCAGATACTAAAATCGACAACGAAAGAACAGATTGAAACTGACGCAGAGGAAGCCAGTTTGGAGAGTTTCAACAAGCAAGCTTATCTATTTCTGGATTCCTGTCTGCTGTGGCAGTAATTAACGTACGATGCAAAGAAATCCTGACAGAAAACAATAAAGGACACCTCTATATATTCAGGTATATTTTTCAGACAGATGAACCATCAATCACGGAATTGGCGATGGTAATTTCTGTGCAGTGGAAAGCCACTAACTCAACGAGCTGAATCAACCTTATAACGCTTCACACTGGGGTCAGTGATCCAAAGCGAAGGAGCACCTGAGTCAACGTACATCATTGACTCTACTAGTTCTTTTCGAAATATTGAAAAACATGTATTCATACTACCAACAGGCTGAAACCTAGACTGCCTCTTTAAACTTTTTCCACGATTGATTAAAACAAGGGGCTTCTCTAGTTCTCTGTAGGATGCTGTACGGCTGTACAAATTGCATTCGATCAAAGTAAAGACAGATAGCGCGTACGTTCAGGCACTACTGTTTCATGTCTTCAATTTATCCTGCTAATATGTAATGAAAAGGAAGTAGACAGGAGAACAAAAATCAGTGCTGAACATGATTCACAGAAAACTGAATCGAAATAATGTGCTCGGATGATTTTCTCTAGCGTTCCGTGTATCCGACTGAGTACCAGATATAAACTGCAGTTCTATGGCAGTGTGCGGAGTATTTTCGAAGAAAGTTCTACGACGTTTTTTTGTACGTAGATCTCGTACAGAATCGCTTTGCTTTGTGTTTGTTATCTTGTCTGCAATGCGCTCAAGCAAGCTTTTTGGTCCCGCTCCTATTGCTGCCATCATCCGGCCGTAGCGCATGAAGCCACTGGCAAGCTTAGAGAGCGCTGTCCTATTTTGCGCGGTTTCTCCTACAGGACCAACATTTGAGTATGATATAGCGATAGGACGCACCCGGACGGAATCTTGGCGGAATAATTTCGCCTGCGAAAGATCTAACGAAGATAAAATAGTACCGGGATCGATGGGCGATAGCGACGTTAACGGAACGACATATAATAACGACAATAACAATTCAGAAGAGTAAAGCGGTGTCGATTTCTCAGCTATGTAAGCTATGGAAAGCAACCATCTAAATCAAGTTCGCCTTCGACAAAGACCGTTCTATTCAGTCTGCGGGGTACTGAACGCCAACAACATGTCCGTATCGTAAACGTTTAGAAATCATGGGCAGTACAGCTTTTAGACGATCGCGCAACAAATAACAGTTAAATTAATTTGGCACAGCAGTTTGCCGAACGGGGAAATTGTCTGACGCTTATTTTTTTTCAACCAAGAAAGAAGAATAGGAACAGTTGAAAAACAGTATAATTGTGGGGTATCCAAAAGAGGGACATAGCCTTTCTAGGCGACCAAGCAAGTTTACGACGTTGTCAAAAGTAAGCTTGTATGCTAATTCTTTTTCATGTTTGACCATGAACTTCTAAAGAATAGATACATTTTGAAACGCGAACTAATATCGAAGAAG